CACACCCCCGTGATTCCTCTTCTCCCCCCCCCCCCCCCTGCTATATATATATATATGTAAGTGCGTCCACTATAATCTATACACACGCCTAACGTCATCACGAACGTGTAGCTCTCCTCTAACTGCAGGCGCTATTATTTCGTCACATCAAGCTTGACACACATATATCGCCAACATGATCTATCGATGAGATAGACATTCATTCGCTACTATTTTTAATAAAGAAAGAAACAGTAAAAATATGTTATGCACCAACATCGATATTTTATTTTACAATATAGTGACAGTCTTGACGATACCATTATCTTATATGTTACACGGAAAGGACAGTTTTACTGAAATATCTAAAAATTCAGCTGATCTAAAAAGTAATTTCGTTGGACCATCAAAATATTTGTAGAGGACGCTCAAACTGATTGCTAGAATGTCAAAATTTTTTGTAGCATTGCACATCATGTTTGAGATTCCTATACTTATTTTGATATACACTTTAACAAAATTTTTCTTTCCGTGTACGATTACGTACGACATACCCGAGGCTTAATTTTAAAAAGAAAACATCAGAGAGAGTTCGACAGATCTGTCGTATTCGCGTAATCGGGCGATCCCGCGAGAGGTTTCTCGGCGAAACGAAAGGCATTCGAATCTATCGATGACCGGTGTGGTCGATCTGTGTTGTGTACTCGTGCGTTCGCATCGATCCCGAGAGAACCAGTTTAGGTTCGACCGCGGAAGGAGAAAAGAGAGAAATACATGGGATAGTCGAAACCTGATGAGGAGAGCGATAACGTGGGAGGAAGCGAGAAGAAAATATAATTGATAGAAAGTACTGTTTCAGAATCCTTCCATGAATTAAGAAGCAATTCTTTATGTCTATCAGCTATTTAATTCTACGGTACGCGATATTGTACTTTGCATTCCATAAGTCAGAATTTACTCAATGTATCAAAAATATAATCTCGAAAAGTAAACGATGTGACTTTGATTCTTTTGCAAAAAATTATAAAAAAATAAAGAATAAGTTAACAATCTTGCAAATAAAAGTATTTTGCAGCTAAATAGTAATATCGATGTCTCACATATAAATGAGACTATTCCACAGCCTCCACCTGATGGACCAGTACTGGCTAGCGGATACATTGATCAACCGCTGAAACGACGATATCATGAAATCTATCGGCACATTGCGATCAACAAGATCGGTTTACAGCGCGTAGTTACGATCATAAAGAACCATAAGCGTATAAGAAGCGTATAGATACTATTTTGATTTTTCATTTAGCTTGTTTTATTTCTTCCGTTTTATTTCTAATATCGTATATATTTGAAACTGCCATGAACATATCCTATACACGCATGCATATGAAATGTGTATTTTATTTATTGCAAAAATTTGCAAGAGGGTCTTCTATTCCCGTGAGATAATATTACTGTACGCTTGGTTGAGAACCTTTGATGTGTGTAACTAGAATGCTATCGTAAACCAACCTCTACGAACGCTGCGCGTCTGTTCTTGCTCAACTCCATCTAATAAAATCGTCGATTTTATTCACGACTGGACGATCTATTTATCATTTCAGGAATCCGCAGTCGGTGATGTGCAGCCGCGTGAAAAATGTGAGAACCTCTGTGTCGTACGATTGGAATGTCGTGTATTTGTCATCGTATAGATCTTCTTGGTATTTGTACTTTTTTTCGCGTTATTCGAGTTCTCGAGGCACAAAGAAAAATATAGGTATCAATATATTATATGACTTTATTGTTCTCGTGCTCGATGAAACTTTATTAATATATCATATATACCGACGAAAAAAGATTAATTAAAAGAAATAATCCTATTTTCGATCTTGAAACATAATTATGAATAGAACTAGAATAGTAATAATAACACACACATATTATGTATATATTAGCTTTACTCTGAAATATTTGAGTATTTTAGCTCCGCTTTAATTGAAAATAGATTTATTTCTCTTAATTGAAAAAGAAATTGAATAATCTCTTAATTATTACGTATTGTTCGCGCAATCTCGATATACATAGAGATTAACCAGCGCGATACTCCGAAAGACGGGAACGTTACGTTGGCACTTACATTCGTTCCGGATTATCCCCAACCTTGCTTTGGGCTAGGTCATGAGACACGACACGCGTGCTAGAAGAGACGAACCTCGCTGCTTGTACGGTAAACGTTTGCAAGCAATAAACATGAGTTATCGCCGGTATGGGTACGCGAAGACAACGCACGTATACACAAATATATATACTGGCACTCGCACACATTCGCTAGAGACATTCTTGATTACGGAATGAAAGATGAAACACTCACCTTCGGGTCTCAGTCTATCGGCGATAAGGCAATACGGGGGTGGTGGCGACTCTGAAATAGAAAATGATAATCGTTATGTATCATGATACGACTAAGAACTGGATAAATAGACATATATAGGCAATAAATCACGTATCGTTATTAATAAATTCAATAAATTTTAATGTAAAACGTAAAATATTTTTCATTTTAATACTTTTTAATAATATAAATAATTTTATTTAATACTTTTAACTGTAATTTATAGTATACTTTTAATAGCGTGTAATTATTAAGTGACTTGTTATTTCAATAATTATATTCGGCGTTTAAATAATTAATATTAATATTAAATAATAATAAAATTAATATTAACCCTCAGTGAGCTAACTGGGAGCCATTTGAAATTCCTGGGAAATTTCAAATTTTGAATTATTTTGTTGGACATAAAAAAAAACAATGAAAAATGTTACGAGTGACATCATCTCCCTAAATCTCACTCCAAGAAAATGAAAATACCATTTTGTGAGAATAAAAATATTTCATTTCTTGAAAAAAATTTTCACTCTCAGAGAGAGAAAGATTTCATTCCAAGAAATTTAGAGAGTATATCAATAAGATAATTTCTGTTAATTTTGACCAGAGTCGCTACTTATTGTTAATACATTTGCATTAATACATTCGCATCAATCATGGGGGCATTGAAAAACAGACTCAAGGCTCCGGTAACTTTTGATTAAATCGTATTAATGACATCGATGGCGAAATATTGTAACAAACGACAGGCGCCCGTTAGAGAACTCCAAAAATGGTAGGTTCTATTATTAGCGTAAAGTAAAACCGGTATGCCATTTTTCGTCCTTTTACGTATTGCCCTGAAAGTAATAGAGGACAAACCGCGGCGCGAATATCTCGAACGTCAAGGTAACCTGACGCTCTCCGTGTCTAAGAGAACGAAACCGCCTTCGCGTCATTCGAAGCCCACTGAGACCACGCGTGTAAATGCATAACTGCAATCCTCAAGGAATCCTTGTCACGAGAATCTTAGTAATCAATTAGCTTTATTTAAACATTGAACGGTTTCAAATAATTTTTACAAATTAAAAAAATTTTTTTGTATAATTCGAAAAATTGATTTCATACTTAAAAAAATATATATATTGTAATTATTCCATGAAAAAAAGAATATAACATTTTTCGATGAAAATAATTAGATGTTTACTTTCTTTAACCATTTTTATCGATCGTCTGATTAAAAATTCACACAATGAGAAATACAACAATAATAATATTACATAATCGACGATTAAAATCATAGATTACGAAATCATTACAATCACATATTGATATTGTATTTAGAATCGGCGTATCTAAAATAACATCCGGTTTTAAGGCCACTTTTCGAGGAAAGTACAAATTCGTCGACTAATGACTAGTGCGCCGAAATTCCTAGATAATAAGCGTGACGCGGCGTCGACATGTAATGGCCGTCTGTCGCGCCTACACGCGGATCCTCTTCGCGGACTCGTTTCTCTCTTTATCATTTTCTCTTTCTCTCTCTCTCTCTCTCTCTTTTAATCATGCTCGACTCAATCCCTCTCCAGAGCCGACCGGCCGCCGCGTCGCCGCCGAGCTTTAATAAAGCCGGCGCGGCATGTCACTCATCGACGCACTTCAAACTCCGGGCCAGAGTTGGCACGATTTGAATAACAAGATGGGAGCGCGATTTAAACGGCGATATTTCAGCCCCTAATTAAGGCACTTATAATAAACGCGCGGCGCTCCCGTGGCTGTTACGTAACTCGCGCCGCTGAGCATCTCCCTCCAACCGAGACGCGCCTATTTCTAGGTCTGTTTATCAAATTGTCAGCCGCGGGAGATGAACTTTATTGCATTTACTGAATCGATCGTCCGCATCGCACATCTATCGATCTCCAGGTAAAGATACTGCACGCGAACGATACAAAAAGATGTTTGGATCTTTTTATCGGATAAAGAAAAAAAATTACACGTGTCGTCCGTTCGTAAATAATTCCCGATCGAAATCGAGTAAAAAAAGATGTAGGATAAAGTGGTACAATTTTTTCGAACATGGTTGAACAATTTTAATTATTAAGTAAGATTAGAATCAAATCCAATTTTCGAGGTTTAAATTTGTCCTGTTCGAAGTTTAAATGGTTCCCTTTACAATAAAATAAAATTAAATAATCATTTAATAAAATTTATTAAATCCAAAGAAATCTTTGATACTAAACTTGAACCTTGAATTTGGATTAAAATCTTACTTTATTCAGAATTGTATCATGTTCGAAATTGTATCACCTTATTCTTAGAATTGGAAAAAGAACCGAGATAAATAGAACCGAGATTAAAGTTAAATTGGTAGAAAAGTCGCGGGTATTAAAGTCCCTAGAGACAGAAGGTGCGATTCATTTAACGCTGCAAATGCTTCATTGCTCAATCAAAAGAAAGAATTTTGCGAATTGACCAATCAAAAAATGCTTCAAAAGCATTTAGAGCGTGAAGTGGATCGCACTCAGAGTCTGGGTATCGTCTAGACCCCTTTTGATTGGCATGCATTCACAATGGCGTTACCAATCAAAGTGTAGTATACACTCACACCAAACGCACACACATTTTACATCTACGTACGCCATTTTGTTTGCATAGCGAGACTCTCTAGGGACTCACTTACAAGGAACCCTATAATATGAAAGTCGTCTTCTCGCGCTTTCGAGTATGAATGAATATCGAAGCGCGCGCGCGCGCGGGAGAAGAAGGAGCGGCAGAGAAAGTCACGCACATTAGGCGCTGAATCGCGCGGCTCGGTGATAAAAACCTGCGCCGCAACGATTTGCGTAACGACGACACACAGCCGCCGCCGCTGCCGTCGTCGCCGTTGCCGTCGCCGACTGGCCGATGATAATCGATTCGCTGGCGTGAATTATTAACTGGCTGCCGCGGCAATGTGTGAACGAACGACCACCGAACGCAGAAAAAAAAACAGATAAAGACGGCGGGTTTGCGTCGTCGGTACAAACGGTACGTCGTCTTTCGTTACGAAAACAAGGCGCCATGGGAGCGATTTATGCGCGATAAAATTCCGCGATTTGATGCGAAATTAACGTACGCTATCGACGGGATCGCGTTAACAATGGTCACGTCCGGTGTCTGTTTGCGAGCCAGCGAGGTTGCACGTAAATTGAGCCGACGGGAAAAATAGGCGATCGCCGGTCGCCGTACACGCGTCATTGCATATTGAATACGCGCGTTATTTCGAGCGATGCGGGGTAAATAACGCATGCGTCACGGTATACTAAAATAAACGTGTACAATGAAAAAAGTATACTCAATTCTAGGTGAATAGTTGAAAGTATTTACTAAATGTAAATATATATTTGTTTGGTACAAGAACCATTAATTCGATTTAATTATTTATTTTGTTTATGGAGTAAATATTTATTTATTGCAATGTAAGTAAATGTTTACTCGATTCTATTAAAAAATATATTATATATTAAGATTTAGTAAATTTTGTTTCTAAATATTTTATGTATATAAAAATATATAAAATCAATAAAAAAGATATTTTTTGCATATGTAATACGATGCAATTTCTTGACTTGTTCAAAGTTAGCACCCTAACATTAAAATTCCATAGTTTTGACTATTTCTTGAATGATAAGTATTTTTTTACAAGACACTCTGTAGAATTTTATATACGGTTATGGACACGGTAATGTTCGCGAATGCCAACACGTGGAGACCCGAGCGGAACATTATTTCAGTGCGTGGTCAGTCTTTGTTTTGAACAACGGAGTCTAAAGTGCCTTTGGAATTCTCCGCGATGCGCAGCGAGAGAGAGAACTCGAATTCTTAGGAAACCTATTCCCGATCCGTCGAAATCACTAACACGCGCGTCCCAGAGATTGAGAATATAATAAACATCGGTACCAGCCAAGATTCCCGACGCCTTCGCTGTCCCCAATTCCGATGATTCTCAAAAATTTCAACGATCGAAGGTCAGTACTGCAAGCAAATGTATTTATACTACATATTTGTCTCAGAAAATGTACATAATGATAATAAATTAGCATACACTCTAATATTAAAACGATTATACATAAAAATCGAGTTCTAATCATTGTCACCAAAACGAGGAAAATTAAATGCTTGAAAATGATATTTTTATACGAGAATTCACAAATAACATCTCATTTTCCAATTCCAACGTTAACAGAAGCCAAAGGCGAAATGATTAATTTCGGCTCGAAGCAGCATGGGAGATCTATTACCAGGATTTTTACACAAATAGTCAGTATAACAAGTCCGAGACGAATTAGGGGAAGAATCAGTCGGCGTGATTGTTCAACCGGCATGGCGCGGCGCGGCGAGTCGACCGCACAACGCGACCCAAGTCGGGTCGGGTCGGAGCTTGGGATACTCGTCGTTTGCCTGCTCGCTTGCCTGCTTGCCTGCCTGCTTTCGTGGAGTTCGACTCAGTTCGGTCAGCTCCTCGGCTAATGCCGGCTGGCCTCGACAATTAGCTGGCGCCAGCAATGACACGCAGCGGCGCCGGGCTACGGTCCCCTCTCTCTTCGCGGCCGTCGCGGCCGTCGCGTCCCACCTCGTGCCCCTTCCGATTCCCCCGCCGACGCGCCGCGACGGACGGTGCCCCCCTCGTCGTCGTTTGCCCATCCTCAACCGCACATGCTCGACGGCGGCGCCCCGTCCTTACAGTCTGCCATCCGTTCCTTCCCCCGTCTCTCTCGCATTCTCTTTCCTCGTCGGTTTGTCCGTCCATCCCGTCGCGTCTTCTCTCTCTCTCTCTCTCTCTCTCTCTCTCTTTTCGCTTCCCTCTCACCGCTGCCCAACCCTTCCCACTTTCTCGCGTCACCGTCTTTCCACCAGGCGCGCGACTGATTCGCCCATATATATATATGTGTATGTGTTTTATTTTTAGATTCATTTCCTTCTGGTAATAACTTTGATTGTGTAGCCATCGATAAGTGCCGTTCTCTCGCTCTTTAATTCTCATCCGTGTAATACGCAGGTCCTACCTACATTCGCTCAATTTCTTCCCTTTTCTGTCTCTGCAACGTGCGCGTCGCGCTCTTCTCAAGTCTTTTTTCCCGTCCTTCTCCCGCGCAGCGCCGAGAATCCGATCTGTCTTTCCGAAGCGGGGTGTCTCCGCGGAACTGACGCGACGACTATTTCGTCATTACCCGCCCGCTTCTCTTTCATTCGCTTTCTCTCGCCTCTCTTTCCCCAAATGTGTCGGCTTCCTCGAGCGTACATGTGCGGCGCGAGATTGCGCGCTATTATTAGCCGTGGAAACCTCAGCATGGAATTCGAAGGATTCGTTTATTTTCTTCGGTGTCGCGCGCCATTAATTACGAAACACGGCCGCGATTTTATCTCGCGCACCTTCGCGATCTTTTTCTGCGGAGGTGTCGCCGGCGGATCGGTCGCGCCTATTCGATACGATTTTCCAGCTATAAACGCTCGATATTATCGATAAAACGTGCTTGTGGCGCGCTCGACTGTAACGAATCGTCGTCATGATTAGGCCACCGGCGCCGGTGGGCACTCGCGTGAATAGTCACCGTAGAAAAAAACCGCACTTTTCTCAGCAATCTCGTACGGAATATATATTTCCGTCTTTAATCTTTCCAACGATTAGAGAATGTCGATAGGTACTCGCTCGCCAATTTTATTAGCTTTGCCGAGGCGAGCGACACGGTCGCAGCCGATGACTGCGGGATTTTTGATCGAGCACTCGCTCATTTGATTTATCATGATTTATACTCATTTCTATCAATGTAGATCAGGTTAATTTATTCTTTTTTTTCTAATTCTTAGAACTAGAACAAGATAAAAAGTAAGGCAAGAAAAACCAAGATGGAAATTCTTTATCTTTTTTCTAATTCTTAGAACGAGAAAAAGATAAAAAGGTAGTTAAACTTGTAAGATTGAAATCAATCTACATTGATAGAAATGAACGTAAGTGTCCCTGGAGTAATGTCCAACAAAATTATTTTCAAATCTATATGTAGCAAAATTTTAGATCTTTCAGCAAAATTTGTTCTTTCCGTACACATTTTGTACGTCATTTTAAGGGACTTTAGTTGAGATATCCTGACTCTGCATTCTAGATACTAATCATACAATGTGAGAGGTGATAATCCATGACATCCATGCGTTCAGCAGACTCAACAGTAATTGTAATTGATATCAGTGTATTCTTCTAGATTATCCAATCGGACGTTTAGAATACATTAATCTATAAGAATACATCAATAACAGTGAATGCTCACTCAACTGTTGAGTCTACTGAACGCAGTTCATGATAGAAGGGAGCATCGTGGCTCAATGACGTAATTAGCCGGTATTTATTTATCGACTTACGTGGCATATGTACATGAATCTTCCTATCCGATTATGAGAAATATTATAAATACGTTCTCGAGGCGTGGTCCCCGCCGCCGATTAACGCTCGTTAATCTTATACGGATTAAACTTGTTGTTATAGAATATTTATTATATAAAGTTTTCTATTTATAATCTAGGGCGTGCCGTCTGATGTCCGAGTGCGAGTGCACACGTACGGTGTGTCCAAGAAGCGCGAGTTAAAATTAAACTAAAAAACATAATTTCGCGGTATTGGACGTAACTTCCGATATTGTATAACTTTTGTCCGTTCGGCAAAACGAGCTTCAATGATTTTCGTAGGCTTTCTCCTTCAAAATATTCAAAATTTAAAAGGTATATTTTTAAGTACTTTTTTTGCTGTAATTTACAAAATATATTCGAATATTTACCGAAGAATTTAATGAGTTTTCTATAATAAAAAGCCATTATCTAACCTTAAGCTAAAAACTTTTAAACTAAAAAAATTGATCAATCACAGTTGAACGTGAGAAAAATAATCGAATTCAATTTTTCACTTAAGACTGCCGAAGAATTAGCAAATATTCAAATATATTTTGTAAATTGTAGCGAAAAAGTATTTGAGAATATAATTAAATGTTAAATGTTAAATGTATACATTATATTTAAAATATCTAGAAAGCAATTATTCTTCTTTTCAATTTTATATTATTCCGATCGACACGTTTCGATATAATTTTCTTTCATCGAAACTCGATGTACTTACTGAAGTGCCGTATCGCCGCGGTTCGCACGATCGAATTCGTTCGGCTTGATGGCGGCGATGGCGACGGGTTAAACGATCGTCGGGGTTACGTAAAGGCGCATTTTGCTGGCGCCTGCTCGTTCGCTTCCTCTCTCGTTCCCGCCCGCTTTATAGGACGCGACGCTTTTTTGCGGACAAAGTCACGTCACTGAACAAGGCAGGCGACGGACCCGAGATAACGACGAGTCATAAGGTTTCTAAATTCTACAATTTCTTTAAACGTGACGAATATCGACATAAATAGTGAAGACGTGTGTCAAATTAGGAGTTATTATCTATTTATAAAGACATCATTCCAAAAAGGTGTCTTTGAAGAATTTCAAAAGCCGACGTTTAAATTAAATATGTAAAATATAGTATCATTATATTATGAAACAACAAAAGATAACAAAAAACGATAATTACTCGAACCTCATTGAAATATTTTCTTAAATGGTAATTATATTCGCGATATTTTCTTCGTTAAGTTTCCTCAGGAATACACAAGCTTGTACAGTTTACCGATGACTCATTGTTGGTTCTCGCTTTCCCACCGTCAAGTATTGATGAATGAATTCCTTTTGAGCACATCCGTCTCGTTTCTTTGTATTTTACAGAAAAAACTCTTGCCAGGCATGACAAATTTAGATTTGTGGGAAAACTAAAATAGGCAAAATAATCTCTTGGTTTGACCATTTATAACTGTTAGAACGTTATGTTATAAGGTTAACCTAGCATAAACTCTAAGCGACAAAAGCGCACTCGAAAAAAGAAAAGATTGACGTCTATCAGATTTAAATGTCTACCTGTCAACACCGTTAGCATTTGAATAGAAGAATGAATTTTTTTTCAAAGAGTACCCGAAAAGAATATACAGTTTTACTAAAGCGTTTAAAAATTTAACTGGATACACAGATCTAAAAATAATTTGTTAAACTATCAGTAATTAGATGATTAATTGCTAAAATATTAAAATATTTCCAACATTAATTTTTTTTTTATCATATTACATTATGCGTGAGTCTAGAAAATAATTATTTTAATAATTATTTTCAGATCTGTATTTTATAATTAAATTTCTAAATATTTTCTAATATTTATATATTTGTTTACTAATATTTCAGCAAAATCGTTTTTTTTTGTATATATATTTCGATATTTATATTTCAAACTAAATTATTTTTTAATTTTAACTAAATTATTTTTAATAAGATTCTTATTGTTTAAATTATTTTTTTTAATCAAAAATTTATGACAATACCATAATTTACTTTTAATAATACGAAAGTTGATATTAAGTTTCACCCATTATTAAGCGTCACTTTATGCGTATACAACTATTATGTTGTTAATATTTTATATTGTAAAAATCTATTGATATCGATGAGCGCCAATCTTGCAGAATTTTATCTTGTGATTTTACGACGACATTTTTTATCTGTTATGGAAGTAACAGGTGTTTCTATTTCTCATTCACCTGTTCGGCTTTCTCGGCGATGGAAAACTATTAGTACTACGATCCTTTCTCTTGTACGTATTGCCTATATTTGTCTATATTTTGAATGTAAGCAGATAGACATCGGCCTACCGTTAATAAATTCTGTTTTACACTAGCCTGAGCCTTTAAGCTTGTTAGCATCGAACAGGTGACGATTAGCGCTCAGTTTGTGGCCTTATAATGTAGCCAGTTACGACGTCAAATTATTCCGTCATTTAGACACCGATGGCGCCGACTAGACGTGTTCGATAAACGTTAAACGATATTGTGCGAAAAGTCCCCGAAAATGACGTGTATGCTAATGTAACTCGTTTTTTACTTATTTTCCACAAATGTAGTTTCACATTCAATTATCAAATGATTTTAGTATAATAATTTCAATATAATAATTAAAATTTAACAATACGTTATTTCATACTTATTTTAAATAATATCTTTCTCTACATCAATTTTAACTAAATCAATCAAAAATTATTTTAATACCGTAAAAATTTTAGCATATATAACGTTGAAATATATATTAAATTATTAATTACGTAATTCGTACATTTCGGAAATTCTAGTCGGTTAAGTTTATTATATCTTTTTATACGGATCTGCTAATTTCGTTTCAAAATTTACTAGAATTTTAAAGTATATTAATTTACTCCGAATGTTTCTCCGTTTCTCCGTGTACAAGAGAAGAAAGAAAGCAAGGACGTTTCGCTTACCGGGTCTGCAGAGTCGGCTCCAGTGATAAGGGTTGCAGCATATGTATACGGGATCTTTAGCGGAATGACATATAGGTAGTCTCTTAAGCTCCGAGGAGTGCTCGAGATCCGGCCACCGCCAGATCTGGCAACAAAGGAGGTGCGGGTCGTACGGAGCGCCGGTGCTTCTCTCGACCGCTGATCCTCTCATCGGCACGACGGCACTGCTACCGTTTCTCGCCGATCTCATCGGCGACGCAGAGGAGGAATCCTCCGACGCGGAGCAGCAACTCTCCTGATCGTCCTCGACGGAGGACGAGCGATGATGCCTGCTGGAGCGGTGATGCCGATACTGACGATAACGGCGCTGATGAAAATGACGGGTATGATGACGATGCGGCCTGCTGCCGTGATATTGTTGCTGTTCGTGCTGCTGATCGTACGGATAATCCTCGACCTGACGCGGCACGAGAACGCAAGAGCTTAGGTCGGCGCCGTAGCTCTCGACGGCGGTGAGCAGCATCTCCAGTTGATTCTCCTTGAGCGACTTGAGGAGTTCCTTACACCTCAGCAACCGACCGGGATCCTGCTGCTGTTGCAGCTGTTGTTGCTGCTGCTGCTGTTGCTCTTCATCGTCATCCTGGTCCCCCGTAGACCACCGCTCCACCACCACCACCACCACCACTACTACCACCACCTCCTCCTCCTCCTCCTCCTCCTCCTCCTGCCCCCGCGCCGCTCCCTGACAACGTTGGTCCTCGCGCCGTAACCCTGCTCACTTGTCGGCCCGTCGTTGTCGCTTTGTTGTTGTTACTGCCCGTGTTGTCGTAGCCGGCGGCGGCGCCGCTCGCGTTGCTGCTGCTCGTGCGATGAAACGTACGTGACGATGAATCCTCTTGAGCTTCACACTCGGTTTCATGCTCCCCACGGACCTTGGCCTTTAGCAGACGTCTAGTGAGCACCGTCCGTTTGCTCCAGAACATCAACATGAAACAGGATTTGCGGTACGCGCATTTGGTGGCCAGTCCTTTTCAACGTAGCCGCCGTAGGAAAACAATAGGAGACCCCCCAACGACCGGGGGGAGGGGACTGGATAACACCCTCGCACTCACACACGCGCACTCTTGCACGCGGTCGGTCGCAAGCAAGCAGGCAAGCTGCCGCGACCTTCCTCTTCGAGCACCCTTCTCCGCGAGGTCTCCTTCCTCCTCTTTTTTTTCTTCTTCTTCTTCTTCTTCTTCTCCTTTCTTCCCTTCAGCGAGCATCAAATACGCACTGTCAACGGAAAACACCTCTCCGACGCACACGAAAAAATCACAGACGATGGAGCCCTCACTCTCTCACATACACACACATACACAACACAGTGGCGACGCTCGCGTGTATACTTATTTGTGCCCACGCGCACTTTGGATCACGGTCCCGAAATAGTGTGACAGTCCACAACGGCGGAGCTCCGATTCTTCTCTATCTTTCTCTCTCTCTCTTCTGTCCTCTCTCCGACCGGCTGGCGACCAAGTGTGCGTTTCTCCGCCGGTGATATTTCCGACTTCCAACGAGCGACGGCGAGGAACGGTCCGCCTTCTCCTCCGGATAAGTTTTTTTGGCCGTGTAAACGAGTTCGGGTCCAACAGCAGTGCCGGCTGACCTTGAACTCTCATTTACCTCTCGTTCTCTTCTCTCGTAGCTCGACACTTTTCAGCTCACGTGTCCTCGATCAGATCGTCAACGGACATCTCGTGGTATCCTCGCGGGCAATCTGTACGACAGCCGTGTACGCGAGGCACTGTCGGCATCGCGGACACCAGTGGACGTCGTCGTCCGACGACGTTTTATAAGACGCACCACGCGGCACGCACGTACGCGTGTACGCACGCATGCACACAATACCGTCACCGTCACCGGCGAAGCTTTACCACCGACGAACGAGCGCGCTGCTACTGATAGATGGTCGTACACGCTTCTTATTCGTCACATATATGACAGAAAGAGAGAGGAGAAAGAAGAGACCAGGCGTGAAGGGAGAGGGAGGGGAGGGGAAAGGCGATGCGGTGAGAAGAGAGGTGGGGGATGGGGACGAGAGAGGGTGAGCACGAAACGAATCGGTCGGCGCACGCACGACACCCGGCCTTTACTTTCCTCGGCCGTCGCGTATCGAGGGCGACGCGGTGCCTTAACCTCGCGACCCGGCGGGCGTGTACGTTTGTGTGTGTGTGTGTGTATAAGTGTACGATATACGTATGCACTTTACGAGAGATGGTGTATATAGTATATCCCGGCGCGACGTCGCGTCGCGAAAAAAAATCCCTCTTCAGGAGGTGCTCGCCGCGATTCTCGCCAGCTGTTGACGCAGCGACAATAAGTAGCGCGACGACAACGACAACGACGTAGTCGTCGAGCGGCAGAAGGAGTCCGATTTCGATGATGCCCGCGGCTGCGGAGAGACGCGATAACGTCGTTCCCGGTGACCCGGCGCCCGTGCCGTCGCCAATGCCGGCACCACCGCGTCGGCGGCACCACGTAGCGACGATCGTGACCGTCGCTCCGTCGATCACTCCCCGTCATCCGTGCGCGCGTATCACCGAGTGACATTTTCCGCTCGCATCGTCCGTCTTTCTTCTCCCTTCTTCTTCTTCTATCTCTTCGTTTCCACGGGTCGCTGTGCTCTTTCACCGTGACACGACGCCGCGACGACGGTTCCCGACATCCATCATCGCCGCTGCTCCACCGTCACTGTCCCCTGCTCCTCGCTCGATGCACCACTTCCGTCCAACCGTCCAACCGTGAGGACACGCACTGTCACATTCTTGAAATCGCTGGCTCCCGCGGGATACAGCGCGGGCAACACTCGCGGTTTAAAGTACGAGAGAGCGAGCGCGAACGACGAAGGGGAGGAAAGGGGGTGAGGGGAGGGAAGGGGAGGAAGGAAAGAAAGACCCTCCAGAGAGAAGGGGGGCGGTTGGAGAAACCGGCGCACACGACGAGACGGGATCTGGACGTGTAAAGTGTAAACTCGATGGAGAGGGCGAGAGAGGTCGTATGTATGGCGCCACAGAGAGAACGGCGCTTCTCCGATGATCAGCGATGTTACCGAGTTTGGCTCCTTTCCACAATTTGACTTTTCGTCCACCGTCCTCTTGCTCCTTCTTTTTCGATCGCTCGCGCGACGAATCGTTTCAACGTTGGCGAACGGGACGAACTGTTGCACACGACCGACCGCGGCGCACGCAATCGTTCCGGACTCCGGCTCGGCTAAGCTCGGCAACGCGACTGGCAGGCACGCACGAGGTTCTCCGTCATGAACGCGCGCACCGATCTCCACCGCCACCGGCCGTCGTCGCCCCTCTTCCACACGTCTCTACTCCGCTACTCGACCGATCCTTCCCCTTCTCCGCGTCTCACCGCTTCGACGGCTCGGCTCGTCCCGGCACCGTCCGTTCCGTCCGTCCTGTCCTATCCTCTCCCGACGGCGCGCCGATACACCGACCGTAGCGTACTAAACACACAAGAGCGAAAGAGAGACCGTCAAACATGGCGTCTGCGGTAGCGCTACTAGCGCTACGGTCACCCGAGTAGCGGCGCTGAGGACTCTGGCGTCTCTCTCGCTCGCTTCGGCGCGACGGCGCGACGGCGCCTCGCGGAATCGAGGCACGTAGGCCACGCGAATCTCGGCGAAGCCGAAGCGCCGCCGCCAACCTCTTTCCACTTAAATTCGAATTGGAACTTTTACGGCGTTATGCAAATACATGAATCACCTCGCGCGAATCACGTCTGGATTTGAAATTGTCTTCAAATATGCTAAATAATTTTACGGCTCTATTTATTTACATAGTTTTGCGTAAACTAAATGTAGCCGCTTAGGAATTACGTCGCGATTTATTTACGTGTTTACGTTTCAACGAAAACAGTCGAAGCTTTTCTACACGTAAGAGGGCGAGCAGAATTAGGCGATCGTGGGTAAACGGGGAAGGAAAGAACGAAGTTTTAAAAATTTTTGCTGAAGTTCTAAAAATTTAGGTAGATACAGATTCGAAGATAATTTTATTAGACCATCAAAATAGTTACGTAGGAATCTTAAGGGGATCCTAAAGTCGTATATTTTTATTGATCGAATACGATTGTTTACATTACAGATTTTTTTTAACTGCCTACACACTAAGATTAAAAAATTCTTTTCCACAATTAAAGCATAAACGATAGTGTACTTAAAATCGATTGACTTTATACCGAAAAAAAGTTGGAAATTTATAGTTTCGTTACTCTGGCATCGACTCGTAATAATATTTGCTTTATATACAAGTGTTATAAAGCACTTGTAAAAACAGACTTGATTTCTACTAGATATCACGTAAACAAATGTTGAGTTCTTAGAATTAGGTTTGGATAATATAAAAGATTAGTTACTTAGAAAATTTAGAAACTTTGTATGCGTGCAACATTAATATATAAAAATGTGTCAATGACATGTAAATCGTATGTATGGAAGTCCTGTTGAGTCAATAAAACAGACGACTTCGAGATCTCCTTGATGTTGAAAAATGTTGCAAAAAATTGTGATATTGTACCAACCAATTTGAACGTCCTATATAATTATTTCGGTAGTCCAAAATGATTATGTAGAACTCTCAAATTGGTAGACGGATAATACTTGAGTGAAAAATACTTCCGTCCTTTCCGTGTACGAGGCGACGTAAAGCGAAAATGTAAGGCCACCGGTCGCCGTCGTCGCCGAAGAGTAGACTGACGCCGGCGTCTCCGCGCAACGTCGGCGTCTTGTCAGCGCCAGTCGCCGCGCTGCGTTCCACCTCCGGGGTCAACATTCCAGGACGAATTTCAGTCACGATATCGCACGCGAAGGAGATGCCCCACTCACCGGCGAACACAAAGAAACACCGCGCTATATCGAATGACAAAGGAAACGACTGGGAGACGCCGCGGCGCGGCGCGTCGCGACGCGCCGGCTACGAATTTTTGGAGAACGCGCGTCGTTGCGCGCTGTTTTTCAAGCTGCCATGCGACGCAAAGCATCTCTCGCAACGTAAAAGTAATCGCGGAAACGAAATATATAAATAATAGCGGAAGTTTCCCGTCTTCCGAAGTAATAAAAGTGACAGTTATACTTTTCTTTTATGTCCATTTTTACCAATGTAGATTAACTTTAAAATAAAATCGGTTTAACTTACTTGATACAGTTTAACTTACTTTTAATATCTTTTTCTAGTTTTAGGATTTAGCAAAAGATAGAGAATAAATTATGTTGAAGTTATAACTATTAGAAGGAAAAAAAAATTTTTTTTATAATAAATGACAACTTACGTACTTACCAAATTTTGTAGATCACATTGACCGCGTTCATTAATATAGAAGCTTAATCTGCAACACAAATTTATTATATATTTCGTTTTATTACCCATGTATTTACTATCATTCATTTGCTACAACAATGACACAACTTTGAAAGTTTTCAGAAAATAAATCTGAATGTTTTGAAACATAAAAATTTTGAAATATTAATCTTAAAATACAATTCTGACATAATAACTAGAGGAATAAAAGTATATTCTTTTAAAATATCTTTTTCTCTTTTTTCTTTCTTTCCATTTTTTTCTGCAATCAACTACATAATATTAATTTGAG